TGGGGATGGGGATGGGGGGTTGGAGCTTACCAATGAGGAAAGCTTTGAAGAGCCGAGATGAGACGATGTCGATGTACTTCTGAATCCTGGCCCCCTTTCTCTTGAAGACGCGGAGTGCGAAGTCACCACAGCACGCCGCGAACAGAGTCAAAGACACAACCTGGAAGATCAGACCCGCCAACATGAGGTTCTTCCCTAACTCTGAGCCTTTCTTGTCATCCGCTGAGGAGGCGATGGCTCCTCCCAAGGCTTGGAGAACGAGAGAGATGAAGTCGCAGGTGCAGAAGACGAGTGTGTAGGTGCGGGGTTTGAAACGACTTAGTTCTGCGCCGTAGATGTTTACTATGCGTGCGAGGCAGAGATAGATTCTTTATCAAGGAGTGGTGTTAGGATGTATACGAATATGTGCAGAATTGGTGCCGTTAAGGGGGGACTTACGCAGCAGTGAGGAAGGCGGGAGCGATGGTGAGCATAACGAGGTAGGCCAAGAAGAAGTCATTGTTGAAGGGACTATTATGGATCAAAATCCTGGATATATAACCCCCGATTTCCAAGACGAGTCCGAGAATCATCGCGACCATGTAACCCCATGTTTTGTGTTTGATTCCTAGGAAGAGTTGGGTGAGCAGGAAGAGAGCGAAGAGACCGGCGAAGAGACCGTTGCCTGCTACGGTGGGACGGTACATGAAGCTTGAGAAGGTCAAGTCGCATGTATCGAGGGTACATAAGTAGGGCTGTTCCCAGAGTGTTTGGTTCCCGGTCCATAGTGTTATGTCGTTTCCCGGTGCGCCTTGGGATGTTAGGATTGTGGTGTTGGACATTTTGAGGGGGTTGTGGATTAAGAAGGCCCTGGATGGGAGGAGTGGATGAACTCGTATAAAGAAAGTTATAAATGAAGAAATACTAGGAAGGTATCTTGAAGGAAAGAAAGAGGATGCAATGACAAGTGCGGATTTGATGTACAGACTGAATTGAGTCTTGTATTTTCATGCAAGGGAAGAGAACTCATCTTATAACAAAAAGAACTTACCCGCACCCCAACATACAAAACAACTTGAGGCAGTGTTTTGATGATATCCGGGGCAGCATCCTACGAATTGCGTACCCACGGCGTGTCGGAGCCGGTCGAGGCTCGTCAGCTTGCTCACCTGGAATCGACAATGATTGGATGTGTCGTTCAGACGGCTGTGCCTTCGAGACAACATTTCCAAATGGACTGTGCCACCACGCTTTGAATGCACCAAGATCCAAAGTTCCAAATTTGATGGTGAGATTTGCCAATGGAAATAGTTGAAGGACGAACGGGGAAATGTGCTTACCCATCGTGTGGGATGGGACTTGGCTTGGCTGGGTTGACAAACGCGACAACCTCCTAGGTATTTTGACGTGAAGGCCGTACTAATTTCGATCAGACTGCTTTTTTCAAGTAGCTAGCAGTCATTATCTTGCAAGAAACCCCCGTCACGCTTCAAGAATAGAGAACAACTAGGATATTATTTGTAACTTTACAAACACCCCCACATAAAAGAAATGTACAAACAACAAGCGAGCGAATATGACCAAAAAACAAAAATCCAACGTCAGAACTTCGAGATGAGATGAAAACACAACGTGTAACTTCAAATAGAATACCTTGCAGCCCAATCTTGAATTCATGGGGCTGATTGGTGATAGTAGGTATGTAGGTACTAGGCATCCACCGCCGTTTGGACAAGGCTGTCCAGTATCAAAAGAATGAGCTGACGAGACTCGTCACCTTGCGTTTGCCAGTTCTTTACGGGCGACGGGCGTAGGAGTATCTCTTCCAATTTGGGTTTAGTGTATGAGACACCTTGCCGTAAGCTACGTTGCAGAAATAGGCGAATGCGATGGATGAGGAAGGGGACAGAGGAAGATGGAGAGGGGAGCGGAGTAGAGTGGCTTGGAGAAGAGGCGACTGCTACTGGAAAAGTACAACTTTAAACTTGGGTACGCGAAACAGGAGGGGATTGGTGGACTTGAGTGGATAGGTCAGCAACATTTTCAGCCTCAGAGGCTGTATGATTTGAGACGGTGAGGGTGTAATTGTTGGTGAATGAGGGTTAGAAAGCTAGAGCAACCTCCACATAACCTTCAAGGGTCCAGCGCCAAGCTTTGTAGTTCGAGTTCAAGGTACAGCGCATCAGTGACAGGGCGCCATAATTTTGGTCTGTGGTCCACCACTGGATACATATTACATCTTGCGACATCGCAACCAGCACTCTCTCCTTGGGTATTTCTACACTCAACAGATATCGCAATCAAGCAAAATGGCAGACGCCGCCACAACCTCCACAGAGCCAGAATCCAAAGCCGCCCAACAAGCCAGACTACGAAAAGAGAAACGGGAAGCAAAGATCAGAGCTGGGGGCTCAGCAAGACTCAACAAGATCACAGGTCTAGGAGGTGGTGTCCAGAGAGGTAGGATTCAAATTTCTTCCTGAAAGACTATGTAGATTGTATACTGATTGAATAGATCCACCACCTCCACCAGCGCAACATGCAGACCCCGAAGAAGTAGATATCTCAGAACACTACTACGAGCCCACAAGACCCTCACAGCGCGCCAAACTCCCCTCCCAACCCGACATGGGCGATGAGCAACTCCGTCAAATGATGCTAGGCTTCGACCCCGCCGGCGCACCAGGAGGACTGAACCCATTCGCTGGATTCCCCGGCATGGGAGGGCCAGGTATGGGCGCAGGAGGACCACCAGGAGACGACCCAATGATGGCCATGCTACAACAAATAATGGGTGGTATGCCCGGCGAAGGAAAAGGCGGAATGCCCTCGTTCCCTGGCATGGGACCGATGCCCGGGATGCCAGGTCAAGCCGCAGCCGTGGAAGCCAATCCCTATGCCTACCTCTGGCGAATCGTGCATGCTATCTTTGCGCTTGGGCTGGGACTATACATTGCGTTCACGACTACATTCATAGGATCCAAGATGGAGCGGGAACGAAGTAGGTTAGGCTATCATACCGCAGGTGATAGTTTGAGTCCGGGGACCGTGCAGTTCTTTTATATCTTTGCTACTGTCGAGGTGGTCTTGCAGACGGCGCGGTTCATGTTGGAGAAGGGGAAGGTGCAGCCGGCGGGATGGATGGGGACGGTGTTGGGGTTCTTGCCTGAGCCGTATAGGGGGTATGTGCATTTGGTGTTGAGGTATTCTAGGATATGGACGACGTTGAGTGGGGATGCGATGGTGTGTGTTTTTGTTTTGGGGGTTTGTGTTTGGGTGAGGGGTGGGCAGGTTGCTTGATAGATACCTAGAGGTTACTTGATGCTCTTTTATGAATAATACCGCCTGCGAAGGGATGGATTTACTTCTCTGAATTAATGACTGATTCCTTGTGTTTTCAAAGATTTCTACTATTTTGGAATATGAAAATAAGCAGCTCTGATGTTCTAGTGAGTATCTATTGCGGAACGAACGGAGTTACTAACTAGGTCGACAAGAAAGGTATGCCTCATTCGTTACTACTTGGTCTTCTCTAAATTGACTGGTATAACAGATATATCTGCCTATAACCAGGACAGTAATACAAGGAGATCGAGAACCACATTCTCATTCAGTAACTTGTAAAAATTGAAAAATTAAGGTAATAAATCTCCAACTAAATTCTCAAATAAACATAAACGACCATTCCTCCTCTATGACTACTTACTACATACTTAACAAATGAAATGAAGTCAAATACAAACTAAAGGATCTCTAACTATCTCTCCTTTATATACTGTTATATAAAACATAGAACACTATAGCGAAATAATAACCAAGGAAAGTAAGAATGCTATTTTATAATTGTAGCAGAGCGTATAGTATAAAGACGGAGTATGTTTATTCCCTTAGTATACATATTCTCTCTATGTACTAGTACTAGATAGGTCCTTCTTCCCCTTGAAAAGCGAACTGTTGACTGACTAACTAAGTATACGATTCAACAAGTCTTACATCTAACTCTCTCGGACTTAATCCCGTGGTGAACCCCGGCATAGATCAATATGACTCCTCCTATACAGTCTAACAGCCAACTTATTCAGGGCAAAGTAGCGTTCCGTATATTCCAGTAGCTTGGTATTTCCACTTTCGTAGTAGTATCTTAGGTATAAGAAGGAAAACGCATCGAGTACTCGTACTTATTACTAAACGAGGTGTCTAACCCTAAACCCTTACCTAAGGGGGTAGGTAAGATTCTAGGGTTAGGGTTGGTGGTTGGTGGTAGGGGTTTATTCCGCTAACCCTGACATCTAACCCTAAAAGGCCTAAGTTGATAAAGCTAATTCTGTGTTTTGAGTACTCGATATCCGAGTCTCCGACATGTGGAATGCTAGGAACGCCTTGAGTCTTGACTTCCTAAACGGGTTGGCTGGCAAACTGTATAGCTAAAGTGTTAAATTGTGTATGAGGAGTCGTTGATGTCAGATCTTGGTTAAGAGTTAAAGTTGGGTTTGCTAACGGAAGGTGCGGGAGTGTGATGACTGCTTTCTTTTCCTTTATCCTGCTTTTTTTGGGGAGGGAAGGGGGATAGGTGGGTTTACTGGGGTTTCTGCAAGATATCAAGATGTTCAGATGTTAAGATGTTTGCCGACTGGATTGGACTGGGTTCTTGCGTGTATACTGGTTTACCTTGTTGATGGGGTTGGGCTGGTATCCCTAACTCCGATCCTCTCGTTGAAATTAGCTCTGGGTTGTTTGGGGTGGTTACTGAAATGTAGATATGTTCATCAGGTTGCAGGGTGATCGTTTTGGAATGAAAGATGGGGGATGGGAAGGAGGGATGGATGATGAATGTGTTGATTGCTATTCGGGAGATGGGTTGGTTGTTGGGTTTTAGAGTGGTTGGTTTTGGTTTAGGGGTTTGTGTCTTTGTGTTTGTGTATATAGGGATAATAATTAGTGCACTTCCTGTTACGCTGTCGCTTATAGCCAGCGGAAGCAAGTAAGACGCGGAAGTAAGTGAGACGTGGGTTCGATTTAAGGTATAAATACTACATAAAATATATCCTAACTTAATAATTATTCCATACTTATATCTAACTTACTTAACTTTCTGTAAAAATATTAAATTTACGTATCTTTTACTCTTCTCTACTTATTAAATCTATTTATAAACCTATTTTATAATAAATTAATCTAGGTAGACGCGAATAAATAAAACTCGATTACTCTCGCGATATAGCTAATACTATTAAATAGGTATAAGGAGAAGGCTATAATAAAGGACCGTTTATTATAGCGTATATATATAGTATAGTTAAGAGCTCTATTACTTCTACTTTATTAAGAATTAGATAAAAGAGAGTTAATAAGACTAGTAAATATAATAAGTATAGTAGAAATAATAGGGTTCTAAATAATATATAAGAAGAAGCTATCTAGTAGTATTGTTATAACTAGTAGAAATAAAAGCTTAAAGTAACTTAAAAGATTATATTCTTAGTAATTATATACCTTGAAAAAGCTAATAGTAATTCTACTTCTTTATAGTTCTAGTTTAATAAGTAGTTAAAATAATACCTAGATCTTTATATTATTAAAATAAAACTAATTATATATATATAGCTTAAGATATATATATATAGAAAAAGATTAAGAAGTAGTTCTATAAATACTAATTCATACTACTTAAATATAATATTTATAAAGGTAAATATATACTAAATATAAACGAGTCTAGAGTTAAAGTTAAGTATATAGGAAATAAGAAAGTTATTATTCCTTCGTATACAAAGGAGCTATGACGTAGTCCACAAGCGAGTTGGATTCCCAAGCGAAATGGATTTTTTTTCTTGGCACTCCACAAACTTATTCAGAGCGCGTTTTTTCTTAACAAACAAAATGGTTAAGCATTGGACAGAGTCTGATATGATTCTTGCGTTAAATACGCTTCGTACGAACCCACATTTAAAAGTTAAGAAGGTTGCGCGGGTCTATAAAGTACCTTCCTTATACGACATTGCTTAATCGAACTCATGGAATATTATCACGACAAGATTCTATCGCTAAATCTCGAAAACTTACAGAGATTGAAGAAATAGTTATCGTACGACATATTCTCGACCTAGATTCTCGATCATTTCCCCCACGAGTACGTTGTGTTGAAGATATGGCGAATCGTATCCTCTCGGAGCGGGGTGCAGGACGCGTTGGCAAGAACTGGACTTCGAACTTCGTACGACGACAACCTGAACTTAAGACGCGTTTTAATCGAAGGATTGATTATCAAAGAGTCCAATGCGAAAATCCAGACGCGTATAACGCGTGGTTTCGCCTCGTACGAAATATAATTGACAAATATGGGATTCAGGAGGAGGATATTTATAACTTTGACGAGACTGGGTTTTGTATGGGCCAAATTACATCAGAAATGGTTGTTACAAGTACCGAAAGGCTTTCTCGGCCTCGTACAGTACAGCAAGGAAACCGGGAATGGGCAACAGTAATTCAAGGTGTTGGGTCGTACGGCTTTGTAGTGCCTCCATATATCATTTTGGCGGGGAAGAACCACCTCTCCTCCTGGTACGAAAACAGCCAATTACCACGCGACTGGGTAATTGCTGTAACTACAAATGGCTGGACAACAAATGAGCGAGCCCTAGATTGGATTTTTCATTTCGATCGGCATACAAAGCTTCGTACGAAGGGCATTCACCGGCTGCTTGTGCTTGATGGCCATGAAAGCCACCACTCAGTCGATTTTGAGCTTTTTTGTAAGAGTAATAACATTATTACTCTTTGCATGCCAGCTCATTCCTCTCATAGACTCCAGCCACTCGATGTAGGATGTTTTCGAGCGTTAAAAAGGTCGTACGGTGCTGAACTTGAGAAATTAATGCGACTCCACATTACATATGTTTCTAAGGAGGATTTCTTATCAACATTCTATACTGCCTTTCGTACGACAATGACTGAATCAAACATTCGAGGAGGATTTCGAGGATCTGGCTTAGTGCCGTACGACCCAGATTCTGTGATTTCACAGCTTGATATACGTCCAAGGACTCCGTCACGTCCATCTACCTCAACAAGCCTCCTAGCTATTTGGGAACCAAAGACCCCAAATAACATAACAGAGGCATATTCCCAGACGTCATATATACAAAACAAGGTCGTACGACACCAAGATAGTTCTCCGACCCAGATTCTATATGGCCTAGACCAGCTTGCAAAGGGTGCACAGCGTGCAATCACTGAGGTAGCTTTATTACGAGCTGAGAATGCTACACTTCGTACAGCAAATGATCAACTTAGTCGGCGTCGTCGTACGAAAAAGCGCCGATTACAGGAAGGAGGATCACTTACTCTCCAAGATGCGCAAGATTTAGGGGTCCTTAGTAATGTTGATTCGCAAGAACAAGTGGTTTTAGTAGAAAATAGTAATTGTACGAGCCCGAGTCTAGTACCTCGCCGGCGCTGTGGACTATGTGGGAAACATGGCCAGAACATACGAACTTGTCAAAAAGGAGAAGAAATATGTGAGGATTCCGATTCTGAATACTGTAATTAATTTAATTAATTGTGTCGTGAGATATTTAAGAATTTATAAAATGCCAAGAAAAAAAATCCATTTCGCTTGGGAATCCAACTCGCTTGTGGACTACGTTATTCAATTAAGGAAATAAGTACTAGACTAGATTAACTATAGCGTTTACTTCTATTAGATAAGTATAAATTTTATTATCTTAATAAGTTTTAAATTAAATACTATAATAATCATATTAACGTAACTTACTTTGTTTTATTCCCCTTTATATTTAATATATATTTTGTAGCTTTTTAATATTAGTATTTTTCGACCCTAGAAGTACTACTATAAACTTACTATATCCCGAGCCCTCTATAGCTTCTAATACGATTATACTATTACCTCCTTCCTCTATAATCTTAGGCGGATTCGAACTAATATAATATAAGACTTTATAATTAAAAATATCTAAAAGAATTTAGATATATAACTAATAAGTTAAAAGGCGATCGAGATAAAGATATATAAGTAATCTCCCTTAACTAAGGTAGATAAAGCGTTAGCGCTCGCTTAGTATTAGACTCTTATATAGAGACTTTTAGTACCTATACCTAGGTAGTAGCTCGAGGCTTTACCTCCCCCGTGACCTACCCGCTTCCACCTGTACCCCGGTCTACCTATCTACAGCCTTTATTTTCTTGGGGGCCAGCCCCTAAACCCCCGTGGCTCGCTGCTCTCGAGGAGTAGTTTATATGTTAATTTATTAGCAGACGCCTTCTAAGAGCTAGGCAGA